TGCCATGCACATCTTTGCTTGCGCGTGCGTGGGCCTCGCTGCCAGCGCGCCTCTCCGGCCAGAGTCTTTCTCCCTGACAGCACGGTTGTTCCCGGCCTCTGCATTGGGCGACAGCGGAAGCGAACAGGGAGCTCCGACGACGAGAGGCATATGCGGTCAGTACACACCTGCTGGCGCCCCCTGCCTGCGGAAGAGTAGCCTGAGTGGAAGTGTCGGAGCTAAATTTGCCGGCGATGGATGGCACGAGGCTGCTATCAGGGCAAAGGTGGACCATTCAGGACTTCACATTGTGCCGCCCGCTCGCCGTTTCTGGAACAGCTTTGCGCCGCAGAGTCGGTTCGCAAACGACGGATCCGAGCCCATAATCGGCAGCGCGCACGACGGCAACGCGTACTCTGACTACTACTACGGCATCTCCAGCTGGGACGGCGGATCGGGTGGCACGACCGCCACGGGCTACTACTACCTGCAAGCCCTTGTGCCGCGTTGCACTTGCCGGGGGAGAGTGGTTCACGCAACACGGATTCACGCATGCCGCCCGCCGTAGGATGGGGCTGGCGAGAAGATTGCAGCGCATGCGGGCGTTTGTGCCACGGCTGGTGCACCCGCTCACATGAGGCGGTGCACTCTATCCGCCCACATATCACAAGCGGGTGTGTCTCTCCTTGTAGGTTTCGCCGCCGCCGCCTTCTTGGCGCTCGTCGGGCTGCGACGGGCGAGCCGTGGCCGGTCTGCGGGTACAAGGCACATTTGCGCGCCGACACCCACTAACCTAGTCTAAAAATGAGGGTCCGCCGCCGGCTCCCATCTGCAGCCGGGGCCAGTCGGAGTACGCGGAGTAGCAGTATGAGCAGCTGCCTCGTCCCCCACGTAGCAGTGTACCTGCAGAGGTGTGTTGAGTTACCCGTTTCTGAGTGTTCACAGTGCCCATTGTTGAGCGAGCGAGCGAGCAAGAGACTTCAGCTTTCAATTGCGGAAGTGAGAGGCGCATTTTCGCAGGAGCCCTCATATGAGGGGGGTTGTTCGTGACAGTCGAGAGTCGGAGAGATGCTCCGGCTGTCAAAGGAAGAAAGAAAACAGACAACCCAAGGGAGGGATGGGAGAAAAGAAAGAAAGAAAACAGACAACCCAAGGGAGGGATGGGAGGACGGCACGCCGCCACCACACAGGGATTTTAAGGAGAGGAGTCGGGTGCTAGCCGTCGCCCACTCTAACCCTTGGTCGTCTGCCTCTTTCTATCTCCCTTCGCAGTCTCTTGCCGATTCTCGCTGCGACCTTCATGCCACCTCGCGGTCGTCCCACTCTCGTCGTTCTCCCTCCTGTCGCTTCCTCCTCTGTCGCGTCGCTCTCGTCTGCCTCGCGACGAATTCCTTTCCGAGTTTTGAGCCGTTCTTAAACTTTGGGAGAGAGAGAGAGAGATTTGGGTACTTGGCAATGCCAGAAGCGACAAGGGCTGGGCGTGCTCCTCACTCCCGGTGTTGCGTTCCTTTGGCATGGGCGCTTCATGTAACATGCTGAGGCTTGCTTCGCCTCCGAGGAGCCTACAGACCGTACTTACAGAACTGGATAATACATGCAAGTGCAACTATTCTTTGCGCTATGGCCTGTCTTGCTTCCCGAGATGTCGGATGGGCACCTGCACGCTGCAGGCCAATGCACGAGGGGGTGTCAGTGGAGAGACCACTTCACAGCTGTATGCCTTGCTCCTTTAGGTGCTCTTTATAGTATGTGCTGACTCATCCGTCCCTGACTGCCTGAGTACACTCCCTTCCTATTGTCTTGTACTTGGCGTCCTGTGGGTGTGTTCACAGTCTAGTGTGAATTTCGGCGCCGCCGAAATTCAAACACGCACGCACACACACATACACACACATGACAGCGAGGCGAGCGTTTAGCGAGCCCGTAAGCTAGTTGCAGTATATGTGAAATGAGCCCACGATACGAAACCACGACGACACACACCAGTCGGCTCGCATCGGTTGCCTCCATTAACGGCGGAGCTATTCTCGCGCCCAAACCCGGCGCTAACCCGCGCTGCTCGGGGGCATACGTTAGGACGGGTTAGTGCCGGGTTAGCGTCGGGTTAGCGTCGGGTTATTGGAACCCGTTCTGACCCGTGCTAACCCGTGCCGGGTTAGTGTGGCTTAACCCGGTGGAACCCACGCTAACCCGCGCTTACCGAAGGACTCACAGTGACCACGCGTTTTTTCTCTCCCTTCACTTTTAGCTTCTCTCTCTCTCTCTCTCTCTCTCTCTCTCTCTCTCTCTCTCTCTCTCTCTCTCTCTCTCTCTCTCTCTCTCTCTCTCTCTCTCTCTCTCTCTCTCTCTCTCTCTCTCTGGCTTTGGACCCTTCGTTCCTCTCCCCCCGGCAAGAGGCGCGCGATACACGTCTCAGGTCCCCTCTGCTTATCGACCAAACATAGCTGGAGCCTAAAGGTGGGGCGTATCGCTCGAGCGTATCGCGCGCAGTGGTTGGTACCTCTGTGCGCCCTCCGACCTCGAGCCTCCGATGTGTTTCGCCGGCGGGAGCTGCGGCGCCGTGGCCGTTTCCGCTGTCGGATGGAAGCCGGTCCGAGACTCGGCGCCGACCATGCAAGTATCTGATCGGATCGCTCGCTCGTCGAAATCGATCGACTGAGCTCAGGACTTTTCTTTTTTCGAAACGCGCGCGCGGCCCGTCGGCGGCACAAAACTGTCAGGTCCGCCGCGACGCGTCGCCGCAATGGCGGGCAGCGACGTGGTGGAAGCCATGCGCGATGCGGCTCGCCCTCAAGCCATTTAATATCCAGCACCTCGCCGACGACTGGAACGCTAACCGTACTTACTTACAGCTGTCGGTACAGAGATGCCAGCACCCCCCAGCAGCAGAGCGCTCCTGCTGGGGGCGGGGGGGGGGGGTCCACAACATGCCGGATAGGCGCGAGATTCGATAGCGGTAATATCTGAAAAAGAACAACCAAGAAGAAGTTTTAAAGATTTGGGGTAGCTGACAACATGAACACATGTGATGCAAACGGTAAAATACACACCATGGCACTGGCTTACCGCGGCGCGAGCCGCGGCCACTGGAACACACCCGCAAGGGCCACAAGGACCGCTCACGCGCGCGCGGATGCCTCTCGCCGACTCTCGTACCGCACCGGCTCTCGCGCCACTGGCTGGCTCTCCCCTCTCTCTCTCTCTCTCTCCTCTCTCTCCCCGAGTACACCCGAGCGGGCTCCGCCTCAAACGTCATATGCGACACTCCAACGCTGCGACCCTCTCGCGGATCGGACGCCTCGGCACCGGCGCCGCCACGCCGGCCGCGCCGCCCTCCCACCTCGCCGGGCTCGCCTCTGCGCCGAGGAGCCGCACGCAGCTGCCCCCGCCCTCGCTGCTCTCCGGCCCGGCCGCCCCCGCGGCAGAGAGGAGCTCGGCAGCCTCGCCGCCGCCGCCGCCGCCGCCGCCAGCCTCCCCAGAGGAGGACCGCTCCGTGGCTAGCGACGTCTCGCCTGCTCGCGGCTGGTGGGCGTGAAGAGACGCTGTTCACAGGCTCCGCCGGACGAGGGACGATTGCGCGGGGCTCATCTTGGCCCATCTCGGCCACATCTCGGCCACATATCGGCCCCATCTCGGCCCCATCTCGGCCCCATCTCGGCCAAATCTCGGCGCAATCTCGGCGACGTCTCGCCGGCGGTGGACGAGAAACCAGACGACGCAGTGTCGCTCCGAGAAAGCGTGCCGTCGCTGCCGTCGCTGCCGCCGCTGCCGCCGCCGCCGCCGCCGCCGCCGCCCTCGACGCCGCCGCCGCCCTCGACGCCGCCGCCGGCGGCCGGATCTCGGCTCGATCTCGCGCCAGATCTGAGCTCGCGCTGGCTTGACGGCGGCGCGACGCCGACGAGGCAATCATCGTCGATCGGCACGAGGACGGCGGTGCCTGGAGAGACAGCGCAGAGGTAGCGGGCCGTGAAAGAGGCGCTGTTCACAGCGGCGGCGACCGGTCGAGCCCGGCACCGCTAGAGAGGGGGGGGGAGGGAGGCGGC